CTAATTCCTATAGGATTGTATATTCAACTAACGGGGAACCAGATAATCTTAAATTTTGACTGGGGTAAAACGGATACAATAAAAAATAATGTCTTATACATACATATAGCTATACATATGTAGATAAATAATATACATGGCATACAATGTAACTTGTTGTTTGGTATATGTAGGTTCGTGGTTTGGGGTTGCGTATGGGGGGGATATATTCTATACTAATCTATATGTATATGTACTGGCATTAAATGTATATATATCCCATATATGTATATAATAATAAAAAACATGCAACTGTATATATCTATACATATATATGTGTGCGAATGTATTTGTCCCATCTATATTCTATATACCTACATACCATATGTAAACACCCGCGCACGCAATGCATTTATACCTTTATATCTAATAATACATTTAAATATATATTCTATTCACAGACACATATGTACGTACAGTCAACCAATCTTTTTTTCATAAATTTGCAGTAACAGAAACTGAACAGAAGTGAAACATTAATCCATGATTTTTGAGTTATAGATCATGGAAAATCATGATGAATATTTTCAGTTCTCAGCAACACAAGGATTGTTTCCTATTTGTATATATAAGTGCGGCAGTGAGGTTTATAAGTTTTAAACATTCGTTTATGTAGTTTATTTGAGAAAAATTAGGAAATGATTTTTCATTCTTTTCAAGATCGATTACAAGATATGGAAGTAGGAGTCCTGTGTCAAGGTTATCTTCAAACCATAATAGCTCCTGCGGTATCCCCCGTAAAAGCCACCGCGATATCCTCCGTAGCCGTAGCCCCCGTATCCATGACCTCCGTAGCCGTATCCTCCATATCCCAATCCACCGAAGCGACGGAAGCCAGGGTCAGCCGCGGGGTCAGGGTCAGCCACGGGGTCAGGCTGAGGCATGGCGCTGGTCCAGCTCACCAGGCATGCCAGGGCCACCACCAGGGCCAGAGCCATCGAGATCTGAAGACATGAAAAGAAAGGTAGGTGAAAAATGAAGAAAGGAAAAAAAATAATTTTTATTAAGATCGATCTCCTCGCATGAAACGAAAGATTAATATTTCTGCTGTTACTACTACTGGTAGTAATATCAGTAGTAGTGACGATAATGGTAATGGTAATAATGATTACATAATTTATGCAACTAATACTTTGCAAGAAGCAGCATAAATAATAATAATAATAATTAACCCATATGATCATTGTCATATATTCATAATTACGTATGTACTCACCAGCTTCATGTTGAATGTTCTTGCTGTGAACTCAGCGAAGACTATGCGTCGACAGCAAGGAGTCACGCCTTATATACGTCACAGGACAACAGCCAAGGCTACTCGCGTAGTGCTTTCCAGGTCATTATATATAAAAATATCTAATATGTCCATAAACATAAATGCGGACTCACCCACACACACACTTACAAAGAAACGCAAACACGCATACCTACACTTGTATATCGCTATGTATTGTACAATTTTATATAGGACTTCAAACAAGGTCATGTATACATGTCAATACGTACCTGTATATAAATACTCTATATGCATACGTACAGATATATATGTACGCATGCAAAAGCGGGCAAACCCACACACAAACGTACACGCACACACACACAGATGTCTCGCTATATACCGTACATATTTAGACACTCGACCTCAAATAAAATTGTACGTCCATGTTAACGGAGATGCATGCACATTAATACGTATCTGCAAATACTCACTGTATACACACATCCATACAGATATATATGTACGCAAGGAAAAGTAAACGTCAAAGCATTTTCAATATAACTAAAATAACTACTACAAAGAAGTAAATATAAGCACAATCCCGGAACCAGGTTTAGGTAGTTATTTTACGTATCTATAAATTTATGTAGATCTAATATGGCATCATGATATATATGATACACAGTGTATGTATATATGTGTCTATGGATCTCTCTGTACATATACAATAACACATACATAGAGTCGTCTGTGTGAATATGCATATGTGCATGCACGTATATGTGTTCAAATGAATGTATATTATAATTATGGTTTATTATGTTATCTTTGATAATTTTGAATACGAAATAAATGATCTGAAACAAACAACCGTGCTTGGTGGTTTAATAGATAAGTAGGTAAGAAAAAAATCCGAGAAAGTGTTCGTATTCTATATGATACTTATACATAATACGTGCTTCGAATGCACCAATATATTCGCCGCTAAGGACCTCAGCTGTTACCGCGCTAGATCATTAATTTAATCATTAATCAATCATCCTGCTAAGAATACTTTGACTATGATTCTTGACAGGAGTTTAGACATCGGTTAACTGAATTACTTAAACGGTACGGAAAGATAAATTTTTAAGGAGCAATGGAAGTACAGACACTGCGAAGGTGGTTTCGAACGCCCAGTCTTTTCCAAATGCTTCGAAATAATATCGTACTGTATTTAATGTATTGAAAAGCCACTGCAAAAAGAGGAAGTTGTTACGGAAATTATTGTCACATGCATTTTTTTTTTTTTTTTTTTTTTTTTGTCTAAGGAAGTACAAGGAATGAGTTCTAATGTGTACAACTTAATGCTCACTGTAACCCAAGGCTAGAAAACTGTAAATAGTCAAGAGAGAAAACCAGAGAGTAATAGATGAGAAGGTACAGTGACATAAGACTATTTTTTCAGTCTTTCATTATATTTAATTACTGAAAAGCGCATTTTACATTTCCACAACAGTTACCTAAAACTGGATGCACTTTCATACTTAGCATTTATGTACATACAATAGTATATATGATATATGTATGTGTGTGAACATATATATATATATATATATATATATATATAATATATATATATATAATATATGTATGTGTGAGTGCATACACACACATTCACAATATAATATATATATACGTATAGATAGATATTCAACTTACGAAAGCAGGTAATCTTTCAATTTTTGACGGCGAAAAAATATATAAAAATAAGGCTTACATACATATACGTATATATATGTAGATAAATATATACATGCATACATATATGTGTGTGTGTGTAAGTATATGTAGGTGCGTGGTTGTTTGTGCGCAGGGATATATATCTATATATCTATCTATATGTATATGTACATGCATTTAAATGTATATATATCCACATATATGTATAT